TTATACATGAGAGATTTACTTTTATCGATAAGAGGTTTGTCTTTTACATATAAGAGATCTAAAATAATTATTTTTTTAATTTTTAAAATTATAATGGACCATAATGTACAAATAATACCATTAATACCGTGTCTGATTCCAAAATTGAACAGAGGTCGACACATAAGAAGATTTCTCTTCCTTGAAAAGCTAAGAATAGACAAAAGTAGCTTAGACAAGGGGACGATTGAATTTTTTTATCTCACATTAACTTTTCACGTTCCACTTCGTAGGATAAGTCGCGTCAAGTAGGAATATCTTAAAAGATGAAAGTAGCACTAGTCAGGTCGGTATGCTAATTAATATCTAAGTTGGATTAAAGTTTAAGCCCTTTATCGTATAGCACTATATTTTTATCCTATCTACGGCAAACCTTTCTATAACAATATTTTTATATAACAGGAATTCATTATAAAAATCAAGTTTTTTTCTGAACCAATTTTTATGTTATGTTATACACTCAAACCTCTTTATATCAGTTTTATTTGTTCTGATATTTTTTGGCTGTTATAATAAAGTGCTATTATAAAACACATATATTATAACATAACATAAAAATCAGTTTCGAGAAAAACTTTGACTTTTATAATGACTAGTTATTATAAAAAGATCTGACTGTAATATATATATATATATATATNACAGCATCTTTAATTTTTCACACTTTATCAGCCCTTGTCACCTTATAAGAAGTCGCTTTCTTCTTTACTTGTCTTTGGTGCTAAAGTGATTGGGAGTTGTTAGTAAATAACAACAATAACAAAGTATAATTTTACTAGTGAGATTTGGAAAGAGGCTTCTGAGGTAGAGACCTGAGATAGAGAAGTTATTTTCGATAGACTCTCGGCTCTCTTCCTCCAAAAACTTCTCACCTTATTCTTAGGGTGACTCAAACTCACAACCTCTTAATTAAAAGTGGAAGATGATCACAACCAAAACAACCCGCTCTTGTCACATTGGGAGTTGTTAGTCGGCAACTCAAAAACTTGCTTTCAAATTTGCTTTGCTGGCTTTCATATCCCCTTGACAGATGCTTAACGTGAAATCAGCTGCTCATGACTCATCAACTCACAGATTTTTTTATTTTTTTTTAACGGTCTTTTCCTAGCAACTTACACACAAAGGTAAATTAGGACAAGTAAACAAGGATATCCTCTCATATTTACTAATTATAGTTTGAGACGATCATACGATTTAATATCATTAAAAGCCCCCATAAATGTAGGGCCGGACACCCAAGTTTAGGGTAATTAAGATTAGACATAATTTGAAGATGAAATTAATAATCCAAACCAAGTTTAGACGTATTTTCGGGTATTTCGCGCCTAACTTGATATATATATATATATATGCCTTCGCTTGAACCTAAGACAAATGAAAAATGTCAGACATATAAGCCCGTTATTGCAATGCCGCGTCCACACGAATATTCTAGATAATACATCGCTTGAGGTTGAGGGCATTAAAAAAGAAATCTCACTGTCACCTGTTATTGACAATAAGTTCACATGCTTAATTCATGTAAGAACCGCGTACTAATAATATAATAATAGTAATTAAATATAGTACTACTGTCTAACAATTAATCTTTATGAGATAAGATGGTCGCAATTTAACATTTCTTGGTTGGATTGTCTTGCTTTGGAATATATTATTATTAGTTGTTAAATAGCTAGCTGGAACAAATACGTGTTAAAAATGCAATTTACTAATCAGTTGTTTTTAATGGAGTATTAAAAACAGAAAAAAGGAAATTAAAGTGAAGAATCTCGTTATCATAAAGGGCCTGCATCCGGCGATTACTGAATATAAACATTTGGCATTCTTTAAAATATTCTTTTCTTTCGAATGAAGCATAACTAGAGAGGAAAACAATATAGTATTAAAAAGAAAGGAAGCGAATACTTATGTTTTATATTTTTTATTAATGTAAGGAATGATATAAAAGGGCAGTCGACCATAATTAACAGTGAATGTCTTTGGTAATGGAAGTCAAAGGTTTCATCATCATTTCCTTTTTATAGCCAAAGAATTGAAGTATTTCTTTTTTATTCTTCCTCTCTCTCTCTCTCTCTCTCTTGCATTATTTATTTATTTAAGAGGAGTTCTTATCTTAGTTTCCATCTATAAATTTCAGCTTTATATTTAGCAGTTTCTGAAAGTTAAAAGAAGAAGAAACAAGGGAGACGAGGAGCCTTTCGGTTTTTGTGGTACGTTCCAATATCTGATATTGCTTTCATTTTGTTTTTTTTTCTTGGGTTATTTGCCTGACTAATAATCTAAATTGTACAATAGGAAAAATATGAAACCTATATTTTAAAGAATTTTCATAATCACGATATTATATATTTATATTTGGTTTTATTCCGCATTGTACAATGCCATTAGTATTTTTCCATTAACTAGAGGAATATACTAGGAATTATAATTGGTGCAAGAAAAATTGTTGTCTGTAAATAATAGCATCACACAATAGTTTATATAATTGTATATATAATCACCATATTATTTGAAACTTCGTATAGGTTTCACGATCCTTTTTAAAATGCGTTCTTCTATTATATATACTTTTTCCCCGTTGTCTTCTGAAGTAAGATACTTGATAGATACACTTCTAGTGGCAAGATCATGTTCCAAAAATAAACTTTATTGTACAATAATTCATCTTAATTAGAGTAATCACATGCAACAGAGAGAAGAGAACCCATAATAGTGATCAATAACAAATCCGGGTTTTTTTAATTAAAAAAATGAATTTGAAAATCTTTAAAAACATTATGTTTCTTGCATAAACTTCTCAAACAAACATTTCTCCACTAAACGGAGTTAGCAAAAGGAGTTTCTGAGAAAACTCAGACAAATGCCACCTAATTATGACACTAAATAAACAATATACATACTTTTAAAGGAACAATTAGATACGCCCTTTTTAAGTTGTCATTTTCAGTTAAACCAGACAATACCAAAATATAAAAAAATATACTTCTCTGAAACACGTAGTTAACCCCCAGAAGAGGAAATTAATATTTAATGACTCATATAAAGTCATAATCATGTGGGGGTATTTGTTGGGAGACACAACAATGTCCTTTATATCTGGTATGGTGCATGTAACCCATCTGTCCTTGTAAATAAATTTATATATTCACAATTTTTATTTTTTAAGATTTAATTTAAGAGTCGTTTGGCTGTAGAATTAAAGCAATTAATTATCTAGTATAAATTTTGTAAAAGTTTTCCATTGATATCATAAGTTATGTGAGAATAATAAAATACGTGTATTACTAATAATTCAAATAAAGATAAACTATTTTTTATAGTAAATAATTCATGTATAATAATCCTTTATTGTTAATCACTCAATTAGATTCGGTGACAAAGTCAGAAAGTTCAATAAAGGTGGTCAAAATATATTTTTAATCAATAACAAGTAATATTTTATTCTATATATAGTATAAATTTTAGGCAAATGGTGTTCAATCGACCATTTTTAGCCATACATAGCTTCATCCCTTATTAGACTGTCTAAATAACACCCCTTATAGTATGATCCTTTTTCGAACGTCGCGTGAACGCGGGATACCTTGTACATTATACTGTCCTTTTTTCGTTAATCAGTCAATTAATTATACCGTACTATAATGAAGTATTATCACTTTTAACCCGTGTCAAAAACTATTTATATTCGTTAGCCGAAAAAGTATATAAAATTTGTATAATTTTTATATATGACATACAAAATGTATATATATATTCAAAAAATATATTTTTACGGCTATTATTTTGAGAGTGATTATACAGTGTCACTTTCTTTACTATTATAATCTCAGCATAATTAGTAAGTGACACAAACAATACTTAAAATCTTGTCGTATTTTTATTATATACTATAGTCATTATTTTAATAATGTTATGCAATAGTAGTAGGTTCCACCAAATCCCACGTATCCTCCAACGTGCCTCCCTTTTAGGGCTTCCTCAAGATACAACAAAAGTAAAAACCGCGTTGTTTTTATTGCAAAAAAGAAAGAAATAAATATTTTACTCCAAAATACCATATTCAAGAAACAAAAAAGTAAGGTTAAATTTAAAAAATAAAAACAAACGCGTTTTTTTGAGAAAATGAAAAAGCTAAAGACTAGCGTGGTCCCGGCAGATTGGCCTGCTTCATGAGAAAGGATCAATAAATGCATTTACAAATTTTGACTTTAATTTCCTACTTAAAAAGTAAAAAATAGAGTCTTTTTAGCGTTCACTTATTCCTCACGCAAGACTTACTATCTACGAATAGATTTACTTACTTATCTTGTATGTAGGTTATCATACTCCTGATTCATTTTATGTGTCTTACTTTTTATTTTTGTTTATTTTTAAAAAATGTATTTTTCTATATTTAATAATTCTATAACTCCAACTTTTTATATGCCATATTTAAGACCACAAGATCAAGAATATTTGAATACATTATACATATCTTTAATTTAAAATCGCACAATTTAAATGTCTTCCTTATTTTCTTAAATTTTGTACCCATCAAACTAAGACATAAATTGAAATAGAAAAAGTTGCAATTAACAACCCTAAGGAATATCTACTTTTTTGATTCCTTGCTGTATTATTTTGCACCCAAGCCCGATTAATCCAAATTTGTTTGAAGTCCCTCTTTAGCCTTTTCTTAGTATTGAACCCGAAACTTCTAATTAAAAATGAAGAAATAACTATCGTTCAAATCACAATTTTTGATGATTGTGAGGAAAAAAAATCACTCTTTTACACTAGAATTCTTTGTGGTAATGCGGAAAAAATATCACTGTTTATAATCAGTAATTATGTTCGTATTACACATTTACACTTAAAAAAAAACCGAAAAGGGAAACTTTTTAAAAATACTACTACAATTTAGACGTTGTACCATGTGTAGGACCGCTTGTACAAACTAAGTCTCAATTTATAAAAGAGAAGTTTAAAAATCTTCTTTTTCTTTGAAAACCCTCCTAAAAAGGGGACGAAACTTCCTAACACTTTCTACGAAAACACAAAAGCAATTTACTTTACATTGCTCTCTCTGCACTTCAGTTGTCACATTGCGTCGGTTACTCCAACAATCGGTAATTCTCTCTCACTACATTCTCTTCTATGAAATTCAAAATACAGTAAAATAATTCACAAATATATGGTTTAGTGTCAGTAAAATTGAAGACAGTATGTATGTTTTTTTAAAAGATTTTTTTAAGGTTAATGGCACATAGCTCGAGATGAAAATAGTGATTTTGGTTAAATATATGTTTTAAAGTAGTTGATCTGCCTTGTTAAAGAATTTATTTACTTATATATTTGTGTTTTTCTTGGTATTTTAAATATTAATGTGGTTTGGTCGGTGTTAGGCGATAAACCCTAGTAAAATTATATGATTTTTTTGGTGTGTTTGTTTATATGAGATTTGAAAATAATACAGTGAGAAAAAAAATTGTTGTGTCAAATCTGGTGTCATCTCTCCTGCGACAATCACAGAAGATGAGTGGTGAAGAAAATGTGAAAACGTCGCCGTATAGGCGGCATCAGAATAGTAATGAGGATTTGGAAGCTGGGATTAATGGCAGCAGTAGCAGGTCTATGGATTGTGGTGGAAGTCCTTTTGATATTCCAAGGACTAAGAGCGCACCTATTGACCGCTTGAAACGCTGGAGGGTTAGTACTTTCTTTTTTTTTTGAATGAATTTTTATTCTAATATCTTTCAATTTTTTGATTTGTACTCGCATAATATTGACACGAGATGAGTTTAAATGGAGTAATGTTGTCAACAAGGATTCATATAGCCGACCACCTAGTTATTTTTGGAATATGATTTTTAGGGTGAAATCTTATTCGGGTATTTCTTCATTGTTTGTTAATTTTGTTTTATGGGGGTTTTTGGGTGCATTTTGTTGGGGTATATTTATAGGCTATGCATATTAGTTGAGAGCCTTGTGGAAACATGTGACCGAGAGGTCACTAGTTCGAGCCGTGGAAACAAACTCTTGTAGAAATGCAAGATAAGGCTGCGTGCAATAGACCTTTTGGTCCACCCTTTCCCGGGACCCCACTATTCCCCGGACCCCGCAAGAGCTTAGCGCACTAGGCGGGAAGAAGAAGAAGATGATATATTAGTTGAGAATATGTTTTAGATATTAACACTTTTTACTGTAGGTCCTATTCTTTATAGGAGTGATTTAGCCTTTTTGAGATTTACACATTTAGAAAACTTACATAACTTCTAACACTTTTTATTTGTATTTGCATAATTGTTGGCATGAGATGAGTTTAAGTGGAGTAACATGGTTAGTCAGGATTCATATAGCTGAGTCCAACTTGTTTGGGACCGAAGAATAGTAGTTTTTTTGTTTGTTTTATGTGATTTTTTTTTTGGAGTAAAGTCGTATTTGGGTATTTCTTCTTTGCTTTTCTTGAGTTTTAGTTATATGCACTTTCAATGTAAAGATTTTCTTATATTATCTGTGTATTTTGACATATTATAGAAGATTGCTTTCCATTTTTAAAGGTTACAAATTAATGTTTGTATAGAGAACCTGCAATTGCGTTTTTGGGTGACCTGGTGATCTAAATCTTTTTTACATATCAGGGCATACAGTGGGGGTTTTTTTGGGGTGCATTATGTTGGGGTATTTTTACTTTTGTTGGTGTTATGTCCTGTCATGTGTAGGGTGATAATTTCAAGTGGGTGTTTTCCGATTGGTTTTCTTCTTTCAGTTTTGTGCTTTTTGTGCTTGTGATGCGTGTGTGCTGGGTGGGTGGCTAGGGTGTTGGGTTTAAGGATCCATGGTTTTGGCTTTACTGTGTTTGTAAGACCATTTGCGTATTTGGTTATTTTATCTTTTTTTTTTTCGGTTTCAACTTGGTCAATTTTGGTTTTACATATTGAGAGTGCTAAATAATGTGGTAACAGTCTTCAGTGATTTTCTGGTAAGTCACAACATCCAATTTTTGTGGGTTTTGATTATTAGTTTTTGTTTAGTGTTTCACCTATCATTTTCTTTTGTGGTAGTGTTTATTTTATTAGGAGAATTGCGTATTGGTCTTCTATGGGTTGAGCAGTTGAGGGAGTGGTGGCGTTTCTAGGTGCTCCAATGATCCATGGAGTATAATTTGCATAAGGTGGCAACCATTTTTTGTTTTCTGATAGGTCAAGACTTCTGGGGAAATGGATTATAGTTTTTCTTTAGGGTTATTTGTCAGTGAATTTGGTATTGGCTTTGTGAAATGACAGCTTTCTCCAACTTCCATCCTTTCAATATGCGAGTTTTTTTATTTTAATTTTTAAAATGGATGACTTGAATCACCTGTTTGACAATGCTTAATGAATTGACTGGAGGGAGAAGTTTGAGATACGATGGAACTTAGGTATCACTGCTAGAGACATTGATTTTCTGCTTTTAAAGCGTTTCATTTATTCTAGTTTATCCTCTTTTTATTAACTTGTTTAGAGTTTTCTTGTGGCCCATGTTGGTGATGAGACTGAAAGGATAGTCTTTATTGCCTTCAATCCGTCATGTTTATATTTGAAAATTTTCTAATATTAACCTTTTTTATCAGTCTATCATGAGCGACTTGGTTTACATTTGAGATAATGCACTGAGAAATTGGTCTCTGATTCCCTGTGAGTTTCTTGATAAACATATTAAAGGAAGTGGAGCCATTGATTGTTTATGCCAAAAGGAAAAAATTCGTTGTTGCAACCGTCGCCAAAACCCAAATGGTTACAGCGTGGTCCTTCTGATGGTCTATAGTGAATCCAAATTTTATAATTACCAAGGGGATATATGTGGTGTGTCAAAGCTTTTCTCTTACCCAATGCAATGTGGCTATCAACGTCCACGTTCCTTTATGATAGCATTTTGTTTTTTAAAATTACTTCAAGGGTGATTTTTTTTTAATTGTGGAATGTATGGACACTACTACAGTGGTGAGACTGTAATTGAAGCCAATCCCATGATGGCGGTTATGCCTTCAAGAAGACAATAAATCTTATTTTCCAAAATGGCAGAGGGCAGTTCGTTTGCTGGTTATGTGAATTGTCTTTTGTTATATTTTGTTTGTCGATGTGTTGGAGAAGCTGGTGCTTTAGATTTCTTTGTTTCTTTGCCGGTTAGACAACTGCTGCATGTTTGCCTTTTCCCTTTATGAATTTAATTTATTATTCAAAATTCTTGGGAACTGCTTTTCTTCCATTTATTTATGATCGGTATAAACTTTTGCTGACCTGACTAATCTTTCAGCAAGCTGCGCTTGTCCTTAATGCTTCTCGTCGATTTCGATATACCTTGGACTTAAAAAAGGAAGAAGAAAGAAAGCAATTGATTGCTAAAATAAGAACCCATGCCCAAGTTATTCGGGTAAATATTACTCTCCAATATTCATGTTACCCTTCAGTGCTTTAAATGGAAGTAAATAATGTTTGTTCCTTTTTGCAATGAATCAGGCAGCTGTTCTTTTTCAAGAAGCGGGGCGAACAGTCAATGGTAAACACTTCCCGATGCTACTTTAAGTCATCGAGTGAAATCTATGATGTGACAGCGCTGACTGTTTAGCTTTAGCTAAATTTGTCCATATCTAATTACCGGAATGGAAGGGGAGCCTTGGTGTAACTAGTAAAGTTGCTGCCATGTGACCAGGATGTCACGGGTTCGAGCCGTGGAAACAGCCTCTTACAGAAATGTAGGGTAAGGCTGCGTACGATAGACCCTTGTGGTCCAGCCCTTCCCCGGACCCTGCGCATAGCGGGAGCTTAGTGCACCGGGCTGCCCTTTTTTTTTTAATAACCGGAATGCTGATGTAAGTGGGGAAAAGTGGATAGTAAAAAATATGTCTCATGGTTATTATACTAAAATTAAGAAATAGGTTAAAATATGCTTGTTGTCGCAAACCAAGAATACAGAAGCAGAGTTAATTACTGATGGATAATTGTTGCTGCAAAGAGTTTATGACAGAAAGGAAAACATGGTAATCGAATTAAGTAGGACTTTCTTCCATAGTTACTCTCTTACTGCAATTGCTATATCTTTGCTGATATTTTATGCCAAAAGAATCAGTGACTTTGTTTTGTAGTTGAAGGTGAGTAATACCATTGGGCTGTTTTGCTATAGTTTTGAATGATCTGCTATAGGTGCATCTTTGAGGCAGCATCTTCTAGTCGTGTTTTCAAATGGTAGATTTTTCTGTTTGTCACATGTTTTGGCAGAATACTATTTGTCTTATGTGTTTCTTATTTTAGGGGATGAGGCTCTTAAGACGTTGCCCACAACTACTACCTCCCTCGGCGAGTTTGATATCAGCCAAGAGGAGCTGGCGTATATGTCTAGAGAGCACGACGTCCCTGCTTTGCAGTGATGTGGAGGGGCAAGTTCACCTTCAAAATCTTTAATTTTTTTCTTCGAGTCATATGAGTGCTGGATGAAGTTATAGTCTTCTCTATTTCTGTTATGAAATGTTGTAACATCAGGTTAAAGGGGTGTCAGAGAAGTTGAAAACAAATTTAGATAAAGGAATTGATGGAGATGAAGTAGATCTGCTGAAACGGAAGAATGCATATGGATCCAACACATATCCTCGGAAGAAAGGGAGGAGTTTCTGGGTATGTGTTATAGTTATTGCATCATTTAATGCCGTGATTTATTGTTGAGAATCATTATCACGTTATTTATCATCAAACATAGTCACCCTTTTCTTGTGTTCTCCACTGTAGAGGTTTGTCTGGGAAGCTTGCTGTGATACAACCCTGATTATTTTGATGGTAGCCGCAGCTGCATCATTGGCGCTGGGCATAAAGACTGAGGTGGGCTGAAACACATGATTATTTCTGTTCCTGATTTTAGGATATAAATCCTGCACTGGGAAACTATTTATTGATATTTCAGTAGAAAGAATCTCTGTTTTCCTTTATTGATATTGAGTGGAGATATAATTTGTAGATTTACACAACTGCGGCCGGGGGTGAATGGTTATAGCTTTGTAGATCTTGAAAAACACATTTGTGTTAGTAAAATTTTTTACGTTCTTAACTATAAAAAAAGCTCTTATGTTCCTTTTCTTTTATCGGAATTGCACATATGATAAGCATATAGAGAACAATGCACCAATATCCATCAATTTGTGTCCATGAACATCTTTATTCTTTTCCTTTTTCTCAACAATTATTTGGCATGTTATGTCTAACTTTTCCACTATGTTTTGTCTTCAAACAAGTAATTCAATATCTGTCTCGTGAGTTTCTTCTCTGCTCTAATTTAAGCTTGTTCTGTTAGGGTATAAAAGAAGGATGGTACGATGGAGGAAGCATTGCTTTGGCAGTGATTATTGTCATAGTTGTGACAGGTACAAGGATTTACATAGAGATTTTATTTCAGTAGAGGTCTTGATGTTAAACTTGTGTTTAATTTGGCTGATATGAAAAATGTGCAATGTCAAATCAACTCTTAACACTGGATAATTTATCAATAACATGGTCGGATTCGGTCTTTAGATTGCTTAAGTTGATATTCTTTGAATTCCATATCAAACTTCAGAACTACAAACTTAGTTGAAATTTGATTTAGAAAGGGAAAGACTGAGAGACTGATTAGGTTAGTTGATATTTAATTCAGGATGGTATAGACTGAGTGACTGATTGATGACCATACTGATAATCGTAGTTTGATATATATGCCAATCGTACATGGAGGATTTTTACATAGTAGAAGTCCAAGAGTCATTTGCTATGCCAGATGGGATAAGGCAAGATCATTATTTTGTGCATTATACTAGAGATAATGTATAAGAGACTTAAGACTCGAGCTCTAGATGAACATCTCCTGCACTGGGGTAAACATTTCATGAATAATTCAATATCTCCCTCCAAGTTCCTAATCGGCAAATTGATTTTTCGTAGCAACCAATGCTTCTACAACTTACAGTTCCAGTATCACTTCTTATTTAGGTTTTTTTCTTAAGGTATAACTGTCCATTTTGCAAGCAACTTGTAGGATAAAAAGAAAACTACATGTTCAGTGCTAATACCGAAATACCAAAAGCATTATCACATTATTTTGTTATAAGGATGCAGATGTTGTCAAGTCTGTGATTCTTCGCCTAGTTAGACGAGTAAACACAGCATATGAGTTGGAAAAGAAACTGTGAAAGGAAAACGAGTTCAGAGCAGAAAATCTTGTGTGCTCTTGAATAGTAGTTTCAATTACAACAATATCATAAACAGCTTATTAAAAAGGCATCTAAGTCTAACATGCCTTTACTTGTCTATATTTATTTTCCCAAATTTAAAGTTGTTGATACAATCCATTGCATAGAAACCTTTTAGCCTCTGGATTATATCTGACTAATGAATAAAGCCTTAGTTTAAAAGTTCATTTTCTTGCTCTCCTGTTTGTAACTGGACATTTCTACTGTATGAATTTGCAGCTGTTAGTGACTATAAGCAATCACTTCAGTTTCAAAATCTTAATGAAGAGAAGCAGAACATACAAATTGAGGTTTGTCTTCTACTCTTTCCCGGTGTATTGCTTGTGACAGTCTCCTGTTTTCTGTCCTTCCCTTTTGTTTTTTTCAAATATTCTTAGCGTACTTTGTACAGGTTGTTAGAGGTGGGCGGAGAATTCCCGTTTCAATATTTGATGTAGTTGTTGGTGATGTTGTGCCTCTGAAAATTGGTGACCAGGTCAGTTTCTTTTTCTTCCCTTTTTTGATGTTGTAACTACGATATAATCTTTCTATGAATTTATTTTTCTACATTGATTGCAGGTACCTGCTGATGGAATATTAATCTCGGGTCACTCTCTTGCGATTGATGAATCAAGCATGACAGGAGAGAGCAAGATTGTGAGTGTTTCTAGTAATCTCTTAGGTTACACTGCTGTTTCCTTTTTAACTGATATTAATTTGTTACCCAGGTTCACAAGGATTCAAAATCACCTTTCCTTATGTCTGGATGCAAAGTAGCCGATGGCTATGGAACGATGCTGGTAGGCTCCTTTTCTGTATGACGTTAGTGTGTTGAAGGGACTACTTTGGTCATTTCCGCTAAACCTTAATTTCTAATATTCAAATGACTTTAGAGATCCCTAATTTGTTGCAAAGACATTAAATAAGCAAAGCATTGGAATGGTTTGGGCCTGGATAGAGCGGAATGCTTACAAGGAGTTCATATGATCAACTCCAACTTTGTTTGAGATTGAGGCATGCTCGATTGATTGATCGAAAGATTTTAAACACATTAGTGTTCATTTTCAGGTGATAGGCGTTGGAATAAACACAGAATGGGGATTGCTGATGGCAAGCATTACAGAGGATAATGGAGAGGAAACACCATTGCAGGTTATTTGGGTGTAAAATGTTATGACCGCGCTGAAGGATCAACATTCACTACTTAAATTTTTTTGTACAATTCATTTTAGGTCCGTTTGAATGGGGTGGCAACCTTCATTGGTATAGTTGGTCTCACTGTAGCTTTAGCTGTTCTGATTGTCCTTATGATCAGGTAGTGCTGGAGTTCAATTGACGCTCTTATCACTTCACCTTGCCTCTACTGTTCCAAGAGTCTTAAGTTTGAGATTTTATGAACAGATTCTTTACTGGGCATACTTATAACCCAGACGGCACTGTTCAATTCAAAGCTGGGAAAACAAGGGTTGGCAAGGCTGTAGATGGAGCTATAAAGATCTTCACTGTTGCTGTATGTGCTCTTTTTTATGACCTTTATGTTCTTTAATTGTTTGTCATCTGAAATCAGTGAACCTGTGGAAAATGTAGGTTACTATTGTGGTTGTGGCAGTGCCAGAAGGACTTCCTTTGGCAGTTACCCTAACGTAAGTACGGTCCTTCAGTTCTTGCTTCTCTGTTAGATGCCTTGGTTGTTAAGCTCAAATCTGTTGGTTGTGAAGGTAGATCTCCAAGTGATTAATTATTTTGGTCCTTGTGTTCTTCATCAACTTTGGAGAATTTACTATTTGTCTTTGCAATAATATATTCATGTGTTTCCACAACTGGTATGAAGTAGTCTGACTTGTGGTCAACTATAATCTTGCAGGCTTGCCTATTCAATGAGGAAAATGATGGCAGATAAGGCTTTGGTAGGAGCAGTAATCTTTCTCTGAATTCTTTTCTTAAGATATTCTGTGTTCTAAACAACATTTAACTGCAGGTGAGAAGGCTTTCTGCTTGTGAAACTATGGGCTCTGCAACTACAATTTGCAGTGATAAAACTGGAACCTTGACTTTGAATCAGGTGGAATTTTTTTACAACCTCTTGTACTTTTTCCCCACTTTCTCTTCCTTTCCTTTTTTGTTCCATTTTCCCCTTCTTGGTTGGGACTGGGTTTAGCGCTGATGTTGTGTATGAAGAGCCAATTTATATTGTATACAGCTTTGCTTTACAATGGTGCCGAGCTTCAATTCTATTTTAATTTTTCCTTTGTAGATGACTGTGGTTGAGGCATATGTCTGCGGTAAAAAGATTGATCCACCTGATGATAGATCTGCAGTGCCTCCAACTGTGTTGTCTCTACTCCATGAAGGAGTGGGACTGAATACCACTGGAAGCATTTTTGTGCCACAGGTAAGTTAATAAAGAATTGTCAGCTCTGTTGAGAGCCTAGACGTGATTTCTCTCCTTTGCCTTCAGATGTTAATTTAACTCGGGTAACAAAATGTTAGTGTCCATCCTCCAATTTATATTGCATTGTCTTTGGAAAATCCAGAATGCGTAACGCTATAGTATTCATAATACTATTTCATACGATTTTCACATGTTTCAAGTATCAAAGGCATTTAATATATTGATTTAGATTTTGATGTAATGCTTTTTCCATCATATGAGCCAACCCCAACTTGTTTGGGACTGCGGTGTAGTTTTTTTGCTTTTTCCATCATATCAACTTTTCAACTGTTACAAAGTATTTTCTTTCACTACTAATTGATACATGCACGAGTCAGGCTATATATGTTGGGCTACAGATCATGTCAAATGGATGACCGAGGAATCATTTCCTCGGTTATGGTGTAAACAAGTGGGTCTTAAGTTATGATCTGAAGCTGAATCTACTAAGATGAGAGAGAGTGGACTGTGCTTTTATTTCTTAGGTTGTGGTGTAACATTAGCTGCTCCCAGCTGATGGTCTCAATCAGTGTTAGTATTGTTTCCAAATGGGTGTTTATTTATTTGTCCTTTGCATAAATGAAACACTTTTGGTAAAGTAAAATCAAGTTACACCAACACCTGACTTGTGGGTCTAGATTATGAATTGAAAGGAGTTCTTGATTGCACTTATGCTTAACAATATGCTGCTGACATATACTATAGAAGTTTGAGGAAGTAATCTGATAACTCTGAATGGTGTGAATCTGCTGTTCCATATATACTAGTTTAGGAACTGTATTCCTCGCTTATATTTATAATTTTCTACGTTTTAATATGGTAGTTGAAATTTTTGAGCTGTATGTTGCCCTTGTGGTCTGCTAGAAGTGATGGCGAGTTTTGACATGAACGAGTAGCCTTGAAATCTAGTGTTTCAATTATGAAAGCTTACTTGCTAAGTTGACAGGGATTTACAGTGCTGGTGTACTCTAGGCTTTTTGAATATTAACAGTAGAATGAACCGCAGGATGAATAGCAATTGTATAAAGTGGTGGATTTGTCAGCAAAAATCCTCTGGGTGGTGAGATACTGCTTGATATGTCCAGCAACATGGGCCCCTAGGGTCCATGCTAATGATTTATGTTTACAAATTTTCTGCTTATCAAAGAAAACAACAGATATTGTTTCAGAATACTCTCTAACTAAACAATTGCTGAAGCACCTTCTCTGCCACTGTGGAGTCCTTTGACTCTTTATGGTGTGATTTCGTGTTATCAGTTATGAGTGGTCTTACCGCTTTTGCTTTATCATTTTGTGGGGATTACCTTTATGCATTTAGATAGAGAAGATACTGCAAATGAAGATCACATGCTTGCTCATTTTCTGATAGGGTGGTGCTGCTGCTGAGATTTCCGGATCGCCGACAGAGAAAGCTATTCTCCAATGGGGTGTCAATGTAATTATGCTTGCTTTATGCTTATAGTAATTGATGTCAAAATTCTCTTAAGTAAACTGTTTCTTCTACAGCTAGGGATGAATTTTGATGCAGTACGATCAAAAGCATCCATTATCCATGCTTTCCCATTCAACTCAGAGAAAAAAAGAGGTGGCGTTGCTGTGAAGCTGGTAATGCAATGCTCAATTCTGAAACTTCTTTTCTTATCATATAATATGACTGGTCTTTAGTGTTAAACCTTTGTTACTCTACTTGAGGACTTTACAGGAAAATCAAACTAATATAAAAACCGACATACGATTCCCATTTCATCATTGTTAAGAATAGTAGCCATATAGTGTAAAGCTTGTTTATTCATGTTGCTTTTATCATTCTTGCACTTTCACTAGATTTTTTTCTATTTGATTAGCACAAAGACCAAAAGATGCTTAGTTGATGTTCAGAAAATCTGGTTCTTTTATTTGGTATCCAGATGATTCACAGAAAATTGCTTCTGTGTCCATCTCTTCTTACTTGTCAAAAGAACATGTCCATCTCTTCTTTAGGTGCCATAAGTTTTCCTCGTGATAGGGAAAAAGTCTTAAAGCTATCTGGAAGGTTGGAAGTCGGAATTTAGTTCTTACAGCTTTATGATCGTTGAGAAACCACCTTATTAAATTGGTTTTATATCCAAACAATGCCTTAGGCGTTACCAATACCGTGTTTCTTGATTAGAGATGTATTGATGCTGGATGTGTGGTTTGGTGTTTTGCAGCATGATTCTGAGGTTCACTTGCACTGGAAAGGGGCGGCTGAGATTGTTCTCTCTTGTTGTACAAGTTTCATTGATGAGAATGGGTCGGTGGTTCCTCTGGGTGATGATAAGGTTTGTGTAAATGTTGGTCTTATCAAGCAGTTGATCCGTTGAAGAAACTAAAAATTATTTATTCACTAGCAACTTTAACCTGATTTAAAAAGTGCACTATATTTTTCTTCATTTTGAGAAATATCGGTCAGTTATCACTCCGAGTATTTTTACTATGAACCATTGAATTTGAATTAGGCACTTCAAAAGATAAGAACAACGCAAAGTTGAATGGTGTGTTCCTTGAACATTTACTATTGACCCAGAAAAGATTTATCATTATTCTATAAATTTTCAGTTATCAATTCTATGCGCTGCTGCATAAGATATAGCATAATTCTACTGACCCGAAAAAGATTTAGCATTATTCTATAAATTTTCAGCTTTAGTTCTGAGTATTTATGGTCCACAGGTGTCTCATTTCAAGCAATCCATCAATGACATGGCAGCATCAAGTTTGCGATGCGTTGCTATTGCCTATAGACAATATGATGTTGAGAAAGTTCCCAACGAAGAAGAAGTAGAGCAATGGCAAATACCTGAGGGTGATCTGGTATTGCTTGCCATTGTTGGCATTAAGGTACTTTGCAAAACACTTTAAACCTGTTTTGTTTTGTTTTTATAGGACATTTCTCTCTTCTATGCGCCAAGGGTAACTTTTCTGCAGCAGACTGAAGAAAATGTTAAAGAACTCCAAGTTATTCAATTATTCTGCTAGTCTGTTTAAAGGGTGTAAATTTGCATGTCAAATTAAAACTAAGCTGAGATCTTTATGGGGTAATCTTGAATTGATCCTTTTCTGTACTGTTTTTGGGCTTGGCTGACTGAAAGTTGCTGCTCGTGCTCACACAAAGGAGATGATTCAGCAACTTGAGATTGTGAGCCCTAGGCTTACCTAGGGTGGGCAAACAGATAAAGCGACTTTGGAAGCTGACAACCAAGATAATTTTCAAGTTTGCTTTATTTAACCTGATAACGCTTTTTAATTGAAACCCATAAATAGTACGTCTATGAAGGCAAATTCCCAAGCTTGAGGTTGGAGATGATATATCGCCTTGTTGACATTAATTCCATGAGATCTTCAAAATTAAGTTAGGTTTTCCAGCTGGAAAGCAGCAGTAAGAGTGGAAGGTAGTCAGTCTTCGGGCACTGAAACTTATAGCGGAGATGCTATGGAGCAACAGTGGTGAAGAACAGGGTGAAAAAGATTTAAGCAGCGAAGCAAAATCAATCTGTGGTGGGGAACCAAAACCATGGGGAGGTTGAATGGTGAACATGTTTCTGCGACTTGGAGAAGAAGTAGCGATGGTGGCTAGGAAGTTGGAGAATGGATGGAGAGATAAGAGTGATGGTTAGGGCCACTGGTCAAGGACTAGGCTTTCCTCCTCAAATATTTTTAATTGCAGAAATGGTGACTTATATCTTTCTCAATAAAAACAACAACAAACAACAACAAACCCAGTGTAATCCCACATGTGGGGTCGGGGGTATAATTATACGAGAAATAGGAAGAAAAGCTAGCTTGACGTTTGAATTTTGATGAGTCTTTGACTGAGCTCAACCTTGAAAAAAGTATAAGCCAAGCCCGGCTTCAACTCTATCTTTAAGCCTGGATAATTTAAGGAACTGGGTGCTAAATTTTACACTTACTGTGCACTCTCATAGCCTGTTCTGCAGTTACAATTCATTTCACTTTCTCTTTTCTCTACATACCCTTTCCATTTGAAGCATATATAATGCAGAAGTATCGTTTAATTTGCTCTTATCACATGTAATTAATTCTTCACATGTATCTTATAGGATCCATGCCGACCAGGTGTAAGAGATGCAGTTCAGTTATGTATTGATGCTGGAGTGAAGGTAATTTGGAACAATGCATTTGCATTTGGTTCTTTGAAACACAACGCTGTATTGAGCCTGCCTTAATTCTTATTATTTGTTTTTTCATGTGTTATTAGCTCAATGATGGTCGCATCTCTGTTTTACCATAAATTTGAAGGAAAAAGCCTTTGCTTACTGGACCTCAGATTACATACTTTATCTAGAATGATTTTTGAACTCTCTAGTTATGAACACGTGTTTCAGTGTTTGTGCTTTTGTCTTTCTGGTTTCGTATTGTAGTAATTTGCGCATATATATATATATATATATATTGTAATTAGCCTATTTCTTAATTAAGATAAAGTGTCTATCTTTGCTTCTGTATATATCTGTATTTTATTTTCTATTAATGTCCTGTTTGTGTTTGTCAATGGCATTTTGCTCAAGCATGTCAGATTGTCAGTTTTCATACAGTTTATCCAATTGAAGGTACTTGTGTCATTAATATCATAAATACTTGGTTTCTGGTGTCATAAGGAAACAATGTGGAGAGTTGTAAACTCCATGGATGATTGGCAGTTCTTGGTAGGAAGTCTGTGATACTTGTCTTTTTTAATGAATATATCAATATTCTTTTTGGTTTCATCGTAATTGTGGTTTTGGACGAACAGTACGATGCCTGAACAATATAGAATTGAGCGTAATTGGTATACTTTCTTAGAGATTGTTTCAGATTCATGGAACTCTCAAACAGATTAGGCAGATCAGCTGCTTGTTAATCTGTGGAAGTTCTTAACTTTTGTGACCAGCTATACTGTTCTGTGAATGTACTAGTGAATGTTTTCCTTGACAAGCTGTGTTCCTCTTGCGTGCTTGGTGAAGTCTTAAATGGTTGATTCATCTCTTAAAAACTTTGTAGTGTGCAATACATGTTATGACTGTATAAGGCTGTAACATTGTATGATTCTTTTTGTTCATATTGTACCCTATACCTTTCATATTTGAACTTAGGAAGTCCCAGCATGGGGAGCTTTGTTATATGCTCATAGTGTAGGATGTCCACTACTATAGGATATACTGTTGTACAAGTGGTTGTTGCTTCCAATCCTTTTTGAAATATTTTAGCTGCCCTGCTGCCTTTCAATATATGTAAAAGCATAAATCTGTTTTCCCTCAAATTCACAGGTAAGGATGGTCACTGGTGACAACTTACAAACAGCAAGAGCAATAGCTTTGGAATGTGGGATTCTTAAGTCTGATGCTGATGCAACTGAACCAAACCTGATTGAAGGGAAGAGGTTTAGAGCTTTATCGGAGGAAGATAGAAAGGAAGTGGCAGAGAAAATATCGGTATGGAATGAAACTAGACTATTCTTAGTCGTTCAACAAGGTTTTTCCTCACTTTTAAATTCACATCATGTCCAGGTTATGGGAAGATCTTCTCCTAATGATAAGCTCTTGCTTGTTCAAGCACTAAGGAGTAAGGGCCATGTTGTAGCTGTAACTGGCGATGGCACTAATGATGCTCCTGCACTACATGAGGTGCTCTTCTTGGCTGGTTAAGCTATCTGATATGATTATAGAAAGCATGAGGTCTGCTAGGTGCATGTTAGCTATGTATTCTCTTGTTGAATTGTTTTATCCTGTTCACTGTCCCTTCTGCCTGAGAGGATTTTCCTTCTGTTGCTATATGGTTACTTGCTGAACCATTGAGAAAGGAAGTCTTTTCTCTTGCGTTCTATTCTTTTATTTGCTGGTTAAACTTTCTTGTTTGCTCTCTGTTTTTCTTTCATGAGGTAGCAGGTGTTAGTTACCTTCACAACGAACTCCTATATTTTGCTAATAAAATTTTCTTTCCTGCTGCCTTGTAGGCTGATATTGGTCTTGCTATGGGCATTCAAGGAACAGAAGTTGCCAAAGAAAGTTCAGATATCATCATCCTGGATGACAATTTTGCTTCTGTCGTGAAGGTCAGTTTATCATGCTGGCAGCTTTAGCAGGAAGTTCTCAGGCTCTTATTATCTTAGTAAAGCCAAACTTGTCTTGCATGCTTGACTTAAGGAACATGAACATTCTTTTTCTATTTTTATTGCCTTGAAGATATCCCAACAGTCGTGTTTATATATTTTGGAACCTAAAAGAAGGTGCTTAGTATAACTTTTTAATGGTGGGGAATGAACTTTCCTGCTGGGAATTTTGAATCTTCTGGAATGACTGAAATACTTGGGATAGACTCTTACTTTCTGAAAGGTTCTTTATTGCTAACAAGTTCCTATCTCAGAATGCAAGTTTTCTGTACACGTTTAAATTGCCTTCAGCACTTCAGAAGTTAAATCTATTTTACCTGATATATTTTGGAAACCCATTAGTATCTTTTCTAGTTGCAGTGATTGAAGTTCTAAAAATTTTCAAACTAGTGCACGGCAATACTTATTTCTATTGTTTTTTATCCCATCAAATGCAGGTTGTCCGATGGGGCAGATCCGTATATGCTAACATCCAGAAATTCATCCAGTTTCAGCTAACTGTTAACGTTGCTGCTCTTATAATTAATGTTGTTGCTGCAGTTTCTGCTGGTGATGTCCCATTGAATGCTGTTCAGGTTTAGTTTCTCTGCTTTCTTATCATTGATCAGTGTGATTAGCGGATGCACACTTTGTGTGTTCGACCTCTATGTTCTGATGTTAATCATTTAGGTTTTGCCATTCACCTGTGCAGCTACTTTGGGTAAATCTTATTATGGACACCTTGGGTGCGCTTGCACTGGCCACAGAACCACCAACTGATCATCTAATGCGCCGAGCTCCTGTTGGTCGAAGGTTAGTTTGTAGATCAATCTCTGAAAAAAAGAAGCTTGTTTCAACATTTTAATGGCAAAAATATTGTTTGTTTCGTCAAGTAACATTAGCTTGGCTGCACTACCGTTTCTGCGTATTTGTAGTTTGACGGATGGGGTTGGCTTTTAGAGATAACTAACTAATCCATCATGTGGCTGTGCAGTAGATCAAGTATAAGGAAGTATTATTGATCTGTTAGAATTTTTTTCTTTCATGTCATTTTGCATAATGTGTAGGAAGTGAACTTGTTTTGAAGCCGTGAGATACTTTTATAAAACATCTACCCCTACGATGTGCAAGTCTGAAACCACCCTGCAGGAAAACCAACTTTTCCGCACATTATTCTTTCAGTTGGTTTGAACATTCTGACTACATTCTTAACGTTAATGTGATTATACTGTAAGCTGGATTCTATACGTTTCTGACTCTTTCCACTTATGTTACTAGATTATAGAGACTTCTATATTGCCTCAGTATCTTCTGCCATTCATTTTCATGCTTCGGTGCTGATGTGCATCCTACTTGTATTAATAACATTTAGTGGTGGAATATGTTCTGTTGCAGCTCTAGCCAATGATTCCCCAAATGGATCAACTTATTTTCAGCTTCTTTCTGTATTACTAACCTATGTTCTCATAGTTATAATGTTTCTCGTGCGCAGCATCAATTGATTGTTTGTTTAATTCTATCTTAGGGAACCTCTCGTCACCAATATAATGTGGAGAAACCTATTAATACAGGTAAAAAGAATTTGATGGCTGATGTTCCAAAGTGAGAAATATTCATTTTACATTAATTTTCGAGGTTGATATCTCCTGCTTGAACATCTGCAGGCTCTGTATCAAGTTACAGTTCTCCTAATCCTCAATTTCCGAGGTGAACAAATTCTGCATTTGGAGCATGAGACGAGGGAGCACGCTGTTAAAGTGAAGAATACCTTGATTTTCAATGCTTTTGTCCTGTGTCAGGTAAGAAAAGCTGATAAAGAAACATGCTATGATTTTGCACTCCCCATAGTATATTTTTCCTTTCTTACATAAGAAAGATATCTTGTTTGTACCTAGTGCGAACTCAAGCACGTCCTCTCCCCTAGGAATTTGTCTTAGTTACAATTTTGGATTGTAGAAGTTGTCCACTTTCCTTGAATCAGCAGGTCTAATACGTTTAATACCATAAAAATTTTAGCCGCCTCGCTTCTCCACCTTATTATTTTTCTTTTATTGGCCATAAAAAAGTCAAAGCATCCATGTGTTTTCTCAACTAATATTAAACAATTCTTAGTTTCAAATCTTCCCTTAATCGTGCCAGATCAAGGGTGGACATCCAATTCGGATGGAGGCGGTAGTAATCTCTGCACTTTTTAAGCATCTTGGTTGTGTTTTTGGAAATGATTCTTAAATTAAATATGAGGCAACTTTTTCTCTTGAGCTCCTTCAATTTCCCTGTGTTTCTAACTTTTTCCTCTTTTTTGGTTTTGTTCGGGCGATGGCGGCAAAAAGTCTGAAACTGAAATTTCATATTGCTGTTTGCAATGAGCCACATTAGCTTAGATTAGATATTTGCCTGTCTACTGAGATTTAATCGCTGTATCACTGCTAATGACTCGAAACTGCAGGTTTTCAATGAATTGAATGCTCGGAAGCCAGATGAGATAAATGTATTCAGTGGAGTCCACAAAAACCGTCTGTTCATTTCAATAGTTGGCTTCACATTGGTGCTTCAGGTATATACCTCATCCCTATCCTTCTATTTGGCGTTGAACATCAACCTATCAGATTAACAATATCTTTTTTTTCCTTAGGTTATCATAATATTCTTTCTTGGAAAATTCGTTTCAACTGTGAGACTGAGTTGGCAATTGTGGCTTGTTTCAATAGCCATTGGATTTATAAGGTTAGTCTGGTCTTATGAACTGCATTAATTGATCTAGTATTTTTTCTGGTACCAAGTGAAGTTGGTTTTGCTCAACAGCTGGCCCCTAGCTGCTCTTGGGAAGTTGATACCTGTCCCTGAGAAGCCATTTGGGGAGTACTTTTCCAAGAAATTACCGAAACGAAGAAATCAACAGGAGTGTTCATAGACATTTATACGTACACGAAATTAACTAACTAACAGTGTCTCTGCGTTTTGTAAGGGTGGCGTTTCTTTTGCTACTGTACAGAACTTTGCCGATAATATTTTACTAGTTGGGTCATTTTGTGAATTAGTAGAACAGTATTAATATATTTCTTGATTGCCGCTTTAAATTCGGATGTAGTCGGCGTTTTCCTAATGTACTCCACCTCTGATGTTCTTGAAGGTAAAAAATAGCCTTTTCTACTGTTCATATAACATGAATTTATCATTTATACGAGGAATTGATTACTTGGCAATTTGCTTTAGATGATAGACCCACCAACATTTCGCTCTGTATTCTAATTTATCTTCAAGGTTGCACTTGATTATATCATTAATTTTAAGATAGCACAAGCAAGCATATCCGCTTGTATCATTGTGTTATTTCAATTCTACGAGGACACATGCCCCAAAATAGCATTACCCATATGTGATTTTACATCGTCTTGTTAAATCATATTAGTATTGTACCGAATTGATTTTTAGTTTTTTTTTTTAAAAAATCGGTTTTATCGGTTTTATATAAGTCTAAACGTACTAATAATTAGGGTAGGTTTTAATTTATGAAAATAAATCGAAAAAATATTGAATCGTACCGAAATAAATTTACATGTGAAAAATATATTATATATTAATTAAAAATAATGAAGCATTAAATTTTTTCTTGGGCTTTGTAAATATAAAAACAATTACAATCTAATAAGTAATTAAAACTCAAAATCCTAATTCCCAAACATATTTTTGTTGAAACTAAATTATTTTTAGCATATCGGTTTTATATAAGTCTAAACGTACTAATAATTAGGGTAGGTTTTAATTTATGAAAATAAATCGAAAAAATATTGAATCGTACCGAAATAAATTTACATGTGAAAAATATATTATATATTAATTAAAAATAATGAAGCATTAAATTTTTTCTTGGGCTTTGTAAATATAAAAACAATTACAATCTAATAAGTAATTAAAACTCAAAATCCTAATTCCCAAACATATTTTTGTTGAAACTAAATTATTTTTAGCATATTCACTAGCAAGACACAAGGTATTCTAGCAATTATAAGATGTAAACTACAATATATTGAATATGTTTCATTTCGTACGATTTAGATGTATTTTTTTGAATATTTAATCTTCTATAAACTTTAATCTTGAGTTCCAGCTTGGTTAATATCTGTCCACTCGAATGATTTATATTTTCTTTATCTTTGCTAGATTTCTTTTATGCTGTTGTAGTTCCGAATAGGGTTAGGAGCAAAGACGCCTCAAAAAATCATTTCACATTATTTATGGAAACAACAAGACAGTAAGCCTAATTTTGTGTATTTCTAGTTCGCATTTAAATCTTCTGTTGTCTACCAAGCCTAGTGGTACTTGCAGCTTTTCTTTTTCCGATTGAGCAACTAAATTCAAATAAGATCCGTTATAGCTTGTGATTTAGAACAATATTAAAGCCATACATAGTACAACGAATGGTGCAAAGGGCTAGGAACAATGAAGATAATTTTCTGGCACAGATAGCTGATAGTAATATTAAAGCCATACATAGTACAACGAATGGTGCAAAGGGCTAGGAACAATGAAGATAATTTTCTGGCACAGATAGCTGATAGTAATATTAAAGCCATACATAGTACAACGAATGGTGCAAAGGGCTAGGAACAATGAAGATAATTTTCTGGCACAGATAGCTGATAGTAATATTAAAGCCATACATAGTACAACGAATGGTGCAAAGGGCTAGGAACAATGAAGATAATTTTCTGGCACAGATAGCTACTACTATCAGTAGAAAACATTGAAGATAATTTTCTGGAAATCTCACATATAGTAAGCACAAAGAAATACATCAATTACAAAGATTTTCATATAGAAGACAGTGAAAATGATGCATAGCCTTCTCGACTTGTGGTGCATACCGGCCAGAGCTGTACGCAGGTGATTCGAGGCCTCTTTGTACAGCTTCACATAATTTTATATCCTCTATCTGCAAATTGTAGTCAACAAAATTAACAATACTTGTGAGTGTATGATCGAATACATATAGATGCATATATGCATTGCCGTTCCAGTAACAAAGTTGATCGGAATATTTTACAGGTTTTTACTATACCTGCACTGTCTCACTATCTTGGAGACTCTGTGCGATAAAACTCTCGTCACCCTGTGGACAAATAAAGAATCAATTTCTGGAAGTAGTAAATTGATTTTTAAGTAAGAAAACAAAGACTTGGACGCACCATAACTTTGAATTATGATTCCTTTCCTTTTCTATCATGTAAAAGTACTCCTTACACCAGTAACATATGGAACACAATGAAGATAAATATTAGAAAATAAGAGTAACTATATAGGAAGACTCACCACGCCACCATCAAACGATCTTGGCTTCTCCTTACAATTGCAAAATCCACTTCATACTAATCCACTTCATACTAACCTCTAAGAAACTCCTTTCCCTGGCTTCCGCCGCCCCCCACTCCCCCGTTACCCAAAAAGATCTTCCATGAAGAGAAAATGGCATTTCAGTAGGGGAGGATCTTCAGGCTTAGGCATAAAAAGGGTAGCCCGGTGCACTAATCTCCCGCTATGCGCGGGTTCGGAGAAGGGTCCGACTACAAGAGTCTATTGTATGCAGCCTTACCCTGCATTTCTACAAGAAACTGTTTCCACGGCTCAAACCCGCGACCTCCTGGTCGCATGACAGCAACTTTACCAGTTACGCCAAGGCTCCCCTTCACGCTTGATAAAGGCATAGCTAGACGTAAATGAACAAAATTTTTACAGTTGAGCTATAGATAGCCACACATTGATACGGAAAATGGTCTACAATGCAATCTAAGATCCACCAAATTAGAAATTATAACAGTTAGGCCTCCTAAAAGAAATTGGCGCCAAACCAAAAACCTAGCCCACCATAGACTAAATCAGTCTAGTACCAGATGTCAAATAGGCATAACGGGAAATGTCTTCCTAATCATCTCCCTGATAGATAGCTTTCTCTCTCTCCTAACGTCCAAATTCAACTTAGTAATTTCACGATTTAATCTTGTTGAGCACAAATTTTTTATCACCACCAGTATGAAAATAATCAAGGAAGTTAAACAACTCAGTGCCTCCAGAGTACTTAGGAGAGAACTGAAGAAGAGCGGTACGAGAGATGCATATAGAAATTAAACATACGTTACGTAGAATGAATTTACATTTACCTTGAGAGATGCATCAAGAAAGTAGTCAAATATCACTAGACATTTCCGAGGTCCTTGAGGCAGTACTAGATTCGTGTCCATCCAAGGACCATACCTATGTGCTCCACAGATAAGATTTACAAGAATTACCAGTCATGAAAAAGTTGAAGCGAAACCAGCCGGTTTATCTATATATGAAGCACCAACCTGTTGATCATGAAGTTTGGATACACGAATGCATATAAAGCTTTTGATCCAAGTCGATCAAATTCTTGGTCCTTTTCTGCACTCCCAGTTTCACATCGTTGGATGCTGACTTTCTCAAGTATCTGCTTCATTATTAATAGTTACATGCAACAACAGCAGACATTCACTTATATTGTAGCTCGTGGAAATTGGATTCAGAGGAAAATTAAGAATAAATACAACTCAAAGTTAGAAAATAGTGTTGAGCATACCGTGGTAGAATACGAGTCAAGCGTCAGACCAGAAGCAAGACCTTTATGAGCATATGGTACATGATAACCTCCATCCAAGTAGTTGTCACAGAACACCTACAACAGAACACACTGGTAAATTAGAAAAGGACTGATTTCTTGTGGACCAATGAACTGATCTAACCGTAATGTTAGAACTGACCTTCCAGTTACACTCAATGGTGTATTCGCGTCTACATAAAAAACTTAATGAAGAATCGACTCCACCACCATCCACCAAGATTTGGGATGAAGTACCCAGCCATTCGTTTCCAACCAAGTCAAAATCAGATTCTTGTTCAGACAAAACTCCATTTTCAAAATTGAGAAGTATGAACGGTCCCCATACAGCTACTTTCATTGGAACTAGTCCCATCTCCTATCCTTCATATAGAAAAACACAGCAGACCAAATCACCCCTACATTTAAGTACTGACCATTAATTGACAATGTGGTTATTCAATATATGTTTAATACGTTCACTTTGAAGTTCTTGATTCCAGTTATTCTAGTTGCCTTAAGAAGCGCTCCGTCCAATCCGTATGTCCACCCCTGCAAAAGGAAGAATGGTAAAATAAAATTACATTTGATGGTATTTCCTCCACTATGTCTAAAGTTGTATCATATGCTATACCGAACAAATGTTAAGATAATAATATCTCTGGGATGCATGTTAAGAAGCTAATATCTAAGTACATAAAGGAAGCAAGAAAGCATACTAAATTGACAGGAGGCAAAAACATAAAGGGCAGCCCGGTGCACTAAGCTCCCGCTATGCGGGGGGGTGCGGGGAAGAGCTAAAAACATGTACTTTTGAATTAACTTAATAAGTAATTGATGACCCTTCTCCGACTTGATGGTCACAACACCATTGATCACACACTGAAGAAGGAATAAACACAAGAAAATCAAATGAAATACAAAAGTATTTTTATCTTCAACTATGATATCTACTTCATTCCGTTCATATATTTGACCATGACATCTAATTTAAATAATAGATCTTAAATATTCTTTCAAACAATATAACAAGGTAATAAACAACAACAACAACAAACCCAGTGGAATCCCACAAGTGGGGTTTGGGGAGGGTAATGTGTATGTAGACCTTACCTCTACCTTACGAAGGTGGAGAGGCTGTTTCCGATAGACCCTCCGCTCAAGAACAGTAAAAGGAAGCAATAACCAATTAATAGAAACAACAAGGTAATAACAAGGCAATAGAACGAACTAATATACTATAACAATTAGCATATGTCCTTTGTATTAGGTTCGGCTGTAGTACGTATTTCAAATGCAAGCTTGACACATCAAGGACCTCAGTAATAAAGAAAAATGGATAGTCAGAAACTCCTAGTTTTACTTGCTGAAAATATGCAGGTAATACCAGTACTAGCAGTAAATATGAACTCTTTTACTCCAATTGTCAGCAATAACCCAACATGTAATCACATTTACTGAAAGAACAATTAGTGATAAGACCAAGAGAAAACTGATGGTGAAGTAAGCCTTCAAATCACATTATGTACTGAGAAAAGAAAACTGAAATCAGCTCAAAGCAATTAAAAACTCACATGGTATGGGCAAACA